TTCATAGCGCAATAGCATAAGGAGCTACTTTTGATTATTCTTTACATTCTAGGAAAAAAATACCAAAAGCCCTGTCCAATAAGGCGGGGTGTATACATAATAACTACAACAAAATTAATTTGGAAATTACAAATATTAAGAGGTTGGTGGTATGGCATTCCAATATTTTTAAGCTCAAATCACAGTAAAGCAAAACCATAAACCAAATGTTATGACAGGCCATCAAGTGTTGTAGCACTGCTTCATGCTCCTCTAGTTGTATGTGTTTTATTTTTAAATGTGCCTTCATAGATGGCATGAGCAAAATCCAACACGACACTCTGACCTATTTCAGTGATAAATGCGCAGGCAGGCGAACAGCAGTGCTGACCCTCAGGATGTACCTACATGGGTACATCCTAGCTCAACAAGACCCTGAGAGGTGCTTTCTTTGGGAATGGCTACCTTGACCCTGTCTGGCCTGTTAGAGACTCAACAGAAACAGATGAAAGCAAGGAAGGAGGAGCTAAAACATGCTCTAACATGACCAGAGTGCCAAGTTTCACATCAGTCTTTTATCTGGGTGTACTCTATATTTGCCTGAAGGAAGCTGTCCTTCGCTGGTGGTCATGATGGATAGAAAGTCATTTCTACTGATTTTCTCAGAGCTAGAAATCAAAGGTCTAGTCTGGTGGGTGGTTCCACAGAGAGAGTCCAGACATGTAAAGGCTGAGGTAGACGTGAGACATGGCTGTCACTCACTTTCAGTGTGTTTCTCTTCTCTGTCTTTCACTCTTGCCAATGAACCATTCCGTTCCAGGCACTGTTTCTCTTGAAGGTCGATCTTTCGCCACCTTGGTGTAATCTGCTTCAGGACAGTAATTCAACTATTTTCAGACAGATGAATTGAACAGTTGTTTCTCTTCATGTGACTTTGTCTGGCGCAAAGCAGCAAGAACTCAGCAGTATAATGAGTCAGCTTTCCTGGGTCACATGTAATATGCTATGTTTGGGTTCATGTCTGGCTTCATTTCCTCCAGATACTGTTCCTAATTTAAGCTTGTGAAAAAAACCACTGTGCTTTCATGGTGGTCAGCGACAATACTTATAAATTAGTTGCTAGTATATTAACTTTAACTTTTACTCTTTGAGGAAAACATACAGAAATACTCCAGGAGAGGCTCAGAAATGCAATTGCATTCTGTTTCCAGAAGGAGCTGATCCCTCTGATCCCTGCTTCTCCTCTCGTCAGGGCTGAACGGTGCAAGTTTAGTTTACATAGGAACCTGCCAATTTCTGTGTAGTCAAAGAAGGTCCAGTGTTAAAATTCAGAGCTAAGTTAATCTGGAAAGGAAAAGAACTTTATTTTTAATAGAATTTTTGTGATTTTTCATACAACGTAGTTTGATGGCATTTAGATTCCCTCCCCTATCCACAGCTCCCCTCACTGCCCCCCACCCAATTTAACATGCTCATGTTACATATATATGTCTCTCTCTCTCTCTCTCTCTCTCTCTCTCTCTCTCTGTGTGTGTGTGTGTGTGTGTGTGTAGTGACCTATGGAGTCTGATTTGTGTCTCCAAATGTGTGTCAGTGTGGGCCCATCCATTGAGCCCACCAAGTCCTAATCCTGTAAGACTACCTTTCCCCTCCCAGTGGCCATAGTTGCCAAAAGTTCCTAGGGTGAGTTAGGATTTCTTACCCACTTTGCCATGTCTAGGCTGTAATTTTGTCTGGTTTGAGCTTGCATAGGACTTTTTTGAAATTCCATCCTGGATGAATCCTTGAAACCTATTTGTGTCTTGGTTTCTACAACCCTTTAACTTGTTGAAAATATTTATCACACACCTATTTCATACAAGTCCTTGTGTCAGTTGTCAAA